ATGAGCATGATGGGGGAACTCAACTTCTTCCTTGGGCTCCAAATTAAGCAAACTAACGAAGGAATAATGATCCATCAGCAGAAATATGTGAAGGAGTTATTAAAAAAATACGGTATGGAAAGCACAAAGATAAACCACACTCCCATGGGAACAACCACAAGGTTGGACCAAGACCCCAAGGGAACTCGTGTGGATCAAACAAAATACAGAGGTATGATTGGTTCCTTGTTATATTTAACTGCCAGCAGACCTGACATTTCGTTTAGTGTAGGTCTTTGTGCTAGATTTCAATCGGATCCAAAGGAATCGCATCTAACAGCCGTCAAAAGAATTCTACGATACTTGAAAGGGACGGAAGACTTGTGTCTGTTTTATCCAAAAAGTGACTCGTTTGACCTAAAAGGATATGCTGATGCTGACTATGCAGGAGATTTGGTCAATCGTAAAAGCACATCAGGTATAGTCCAATTCTTAGGCTCTTGCATGGTTTCTTGGAGTTCCAAGAAACAAAACACTGTTGCTCTATCCACTGCCGAAGCAGAATATGTGGCTGCTGCTGCATGTTGCTCTCAATTGCTATGGATAAAACAACAGTTGCGTGACTATGGCATTATTTTAGAGTGCGTTCCTATTCATTGTGATAACACAAGTGCCATTTGCATTTCTAAAGATCCAGTACAACACTCTAAAGTTAAGCATATACATATAAGGCATCACTTTTTGAAAGATAATGTTGAAAAGGGCTTAATTAAGCTAGATTTTATTTCTACTGAATTTCAAATTGCTGACATTTTAACTAAGCCTTTAAGCAGAGACAAGTTTGAAAAGATGCGTGTGGAATTGGGGATGCTACGGCTCAAGTGATTTTTGTTTGGAACCCCTAAGGTAAAATCGGATGTAACTAACAATGCTACGCTCAATCTTGTGTGAATAACACAGCTGAAATTACCCAGGGGAAAGATTTGTGAAGTATTGAAAAGTCACTTATACATACTTTTAATATGTTAAAAGTATTGAGCCATGTTGTTTCAAGTTCCTTTTTCATCATTCTTTACTCTCTGTATCATGATCACGTAAATTATCATCATAATTTACAATCAATCTGCTCTCATTTATCTTTTTCGTTTTTTTTTTTATTTTTCTTCTTGTTATTTTCTTTCTTATCTTTTATTTCTATCTTATTTTTTATTCTTATCTTTTTCCTTCCTTATTTTTTCATGATGAATTTTTCTATTCCTCATAGAATTCAAAAATACAAAAAGATCTTATTTGCTACGTAAGATAAGAAGCATGTATATCAACTTCTTAACTTACGATTTTATTTTATCAACATTGAATTAGATGAGTGCAATTATTTCACCAAATTAAATCCTACTACCTCTAAAACTACCCCACTACCTCACAGTTTAAACCGTCACTTTTCTTTCTCACTCCTCCCCATTAAACTCTTTTTCTTCTTTTCACTCCACCTTCACCTATCAAATCAATTAAATTCCCCATACACTCCCATAACCGGCCTCACTCTCTCTCCTTCCTATTCACACTATTCATCTTCTCCTTCCCTTCATTTTACCTTCAACACCATGAAAACCAACCGAAACACCACCCCAAAAACCCGATCACCACCATTCAAACCCTCCTCAAACACGGGGTCTCCACAACCGGTGCCAATTGCGGTGGTGCATCCATCTGCTCAGCCAAAGAGGAAGGCTAAGGCTGTGAAGGGCGGCGACAGGAAACGGCGCGCAACCACCAAATTCCCATCATGGAATTACACTCTCGGATATCACATCAACTATGATTGGTGTGTGGCGAGTAAGTTCACTGAATTTACTTCTTTAATTGATTATCAAAAATGGACTCACTTGTTCCAGAATTGTTCTCATTACCCTGTTTATCCTAAATTTATTTATGAGTTCAAAAATACCTTTCAATGTGATAATGGTGTGTGCTCGGCCGTAGTTAATGATATTCCAATTTCGTTTGATGCCAATTATCTTGGAAATCTATTTCAAGTTCCTGTTAAAGGCTATTGTTCTTATTTAAAGCACAAACAATCTGTAAACATTGGCCATAATGATGAATGCAAAATCCTTCAATTTATTGGAGGAAATCCGAAAGTGAAAACTACTCACCATCATGCCCTAACACCCCTTCATAAGCTACTGTTTACCTTCACCTGGAAGGGTATAGTACCCCGTTTACAAAAACGGAGTACCGTATCACTCTTGGATGCCTCCCTCATATTCTGTCTTGCATGCAAAATACAGATTAATTTCCCTGCTCTAATGATTGAACACTTGAATTTTTATGCTCAAAAGACCACAATTCCATATGGCTCTTTCCTTACTGTGTTGTTCAAATCTTTTGGTATTGATGATTGAATGTGAATCCCCAACATATCTCAAACCCGATAATATCCTCTCTGAACAATCATTACTTAGACTGAGTCTTAGGCTTACAAATGGCAAAGTATGTTTTGTGCCTCGGAAAGGAGGGGAGAAAAAGAAAGGGAAAGGGAAAGAAGCTAAGGAAGAATGTGATGCAAGCAGTGACCAGGGTAGTGAGGAGGCTAGTGAGGGTGCTACCACCTCCAGTGATTCTGAGGGAGATAAGGAAGAAGAAAAAAGTTCTAACGGAGAGAAAAACAAAGAAAAAATACTTGAGGGAGATGTGCAAGGAGAAAAACAGGAAGATTCTGAGGGGGAACATATGGAAGTTTCTGAGGGGGAAGCTCGACAATCTGACTTACATGAGGGGCAGGGAACTGATCAAAGTGAGAGGGAACATACCACAGACTCTGAGAGCACAGCTGGACCACCTGTCATTCCTGTGTTTACAGGGGGCCTTAGAAGGAGTAAGAGGAATGTGGTCAAGCCTGCCCTTTCTACTACACACCCTGTGACTGTAGAAACCATCAGCTCCTCAGACAAATCTGATTCCACCTTCAAACCTACCCAAGTTCCCTCTTCCACTGAACCCTCTTCTATTCCTGTCTCACCTACTAGGCAGCCTTCTCATTCACCTTCTCCTCCTCCATTTCAGCCTACTGGCTTTGCTGCTTTCTCTGGAACTCGTGTGTCTGTTTATGATTTTCAACAGGTTCAAGCAGATATGGAGAAGTTGACTACTCTGGTGAGCAAGAAACTGGAGGAAATGGCCTCGGAACTGCTTTCTCTTAAAGGCCAGGTGCAGGCTCTGGCAGATTCTCAAGCAACCGGATTTGCAGGCGTAGAGGCAAAGCTTGCACAGGCTGAAGGCAAGTTTAGTGAAGGCAACAAGGAGATCTTGGAAACTATCAACAGAGTAGCCTTTGAGGAAGTCGAGGAAGACTCTATTGATCCCACAAATCCAACCCTTGATCCTACCAATGCAGCCTTTTAAATCCTTGATTGCACTTATTCTAATTTCATATGTTGAACAATTTTATTTTGGTCTTGTTTAATCTCTCTGAACTTTGGTTTGTACGCCTTTATCCTTTGCTACATTCTCTATGTTCCTCTTCTATTTCCTAAATCGGAACTTGGCTCGTATTTTTCATATGATTGTGTGTGGTTGCTGATGATTTAGTACCTAACTTATTTTTGCCTTGCATTATTTGAGCTCACTATTCCCTACGTAGTCTAGTGGGAGTATAGCAAAATGTTTTTTTTCAATCTTTTGATAATGCCAAAAGGGGGAAAAGACAAACTTCATGGCGGCTAAAGTGTTTACCAAGGAACTCACACATCGAAGGTACAAACTTTTGCTAAGTTCAGTTTTTAAAGTCTTTGTTAATTTTTCTTTTGCTCAGTTTTTTTAAAAAAAAATAATAATAATAAAAAAAAAAAAAAAAAAAAAAAAAAATACTTTTTAATATTTTTCTAAGTTCTTTAATTTTTTTTTGTTTTCATGTCTTACTTTAAATTTCTGTTGCATGCCTGGATGATTTTATTTACCTAAGTTTGTCAATGTTTGTCATCATCAAAAAGGGGGAATTTGTTGAGCCTTTTGGTTTTGATGGACAAATTGACAAACTCGACTAATGAATGTTTTGAGTCTTTGGTGAATAAAGGATTCAAGCAAAGTTCGTTCCGGAGTAGGAACTTGGATGCGGAGTAGCATTCTTTAAAAAGCCTCGTGCAAATCTCACGTTCTAGTTTTAATTGTGAGCACTCAATAATATAAAGTCGGAAAGGAACTCAATGACTTATGTTAAAGACTACTGGAATAAAAGTTAGTTTTAAAAGATAATTTCTTAAAGAAAAGATAATTTGTAAAAGTTTTAATAAAGATAATTATCGAAGATAATTATCTAGTTGTTTTAATAAATAATAAATTTATCTTTTCAAATAAAATCTTTTTAAACAAACTTTTGATAATCTTTTAAATAAATATTTGATAAAGTTAGCAAGTGGTTTTTCTGTGAGAAAATCTTTTATACGGCTAATGGTTATCAAGTTGTTAGGATAGTGGTTTAATTAGATAAGGCTAGGAAACCTCTTCATGATCACAATCTGTCAAGATAACTCCACAAGTTGTTAGTGGGTTGTTGACATGTGGACGTGATTATGGTGGAGGTTAATGACTAAGCCTTCTCTATAAATACTCATGCAAACTATCTCAGTAAAACACAACTCTTAAGCATAAAAATTCCAGTAGCCATCTAATAACATAAAGAGAGTTATTTTCCTTCATATATTCTTGAGTGCAATAGGTATTTGTAATCACATATTGTATTCAAGTACTTTGGGGTTGGGATTGTGAGTTTGTAAGGTGAGGTTAAGGAAGCTTCGTTGCTGAAGTCTTCTGTGAGAGTTGGGAACAAGTTCCTAATTTGGGGAACTTGTTAACGGGTTTGAATCTTCACTTGTACAGAGTTTGATTACATAGTGGAAATTTAGAAAAGCCTATATCTTCTCTCGTCATTATTTCATTTAGTTAAATTCCGCAAAAAGTTTTTAGATTTCACCTCAAATACAATTCACCCCCCCTCTTGTATTAGCCAGTTAGACTTTCAGATTCTAATTTGGTTAATCTCAAGATTAGTTTGTTGGGTGATTGCCAAATTGGTAAAACTAGCTTTGTTGTAAGTTTATTTTTTGATGATTTTTTTGTTTAATTGATGTGTAAATCTTGAATTAAATATTGATTGGTTGTATTATTTGATTTAAAGTTGTATTTTTTTTTGTTGTTGGTAGATTAAATATGTAGGAGATGAACAACAGAGGAAAAGTTTGCAGATGAAAGGGTTGAATTTGATGGATAAAACTTTGGTTGTTAAAGGAGCTCGCATTGCTTTTAGTATATGGGATGTTGCAGGTAATTTGATTTTTCGGGTTTTGTTTTCGCTTTACTAGTTTAAATTATACTATCAACGCGACTATTAATTTTGGACAGAGCAAGTATTGATTTGTAGTAATTTGATGATTTTTTTGGAATTCAGGTGATCATGGTTCTTTGGATCATGTACCAATAGCTTGTAAAGATGCAGTTGCAATCTTGTTCATGTTTGATCTTACTAGCAGATGTACTTTGAATAGGTTTGCTTCTACTTGAAACTTTAATTATGCAGATTTTGTGATTAATTTAGTTTTCAAGATGCATTTTTTATTAGTAAAATTGATTAATTAGTGTTGAAATTTTGTGTATTTGCAGTGTAATTGGATGGTATAATCAAGCAAGAAAGTGGAATAAGGTACTAGATTTAAAACCAGAGCTTTCTTTTTCTTTTAGCTTTATCTTTTCCCCTGAAGTTACATTGCATAATTAGCCACTTAAGAGCTTAAATTTCGAATAAAAGTATAAAAAGAAGTTAATAATAGAAAGTAAAACTAATTTGTGCGTATTTTAGTATTTTCCTATATGGGTATATAAGTATATTTGGTCAAGTTATAAATATCTAGTATAGATAATTAAAGTGTATAAAATCATAGCTTTCCCATTCATCAAATCATCCTAATTCTATTATGAGTATACACTTAGGCGTAACATCTGGTGTCATGTGATACACGTGCATGCCATACGCTACCTAATGTAATGTTGTCGAAGTATAGATACAAGAAGTTGACTTGGAGACATGTAAATGAACATGGGTATATTACTAATTATGTACTCGTACTTGATAGATGGGTATGTATATTGTCATAGTTAGTGGAACTCCATGAATAAAAATGAAGCTTAGTAAAGGTCATTCATTACTAAGAAAAAGATCTATATTTGGGTTTTTCTCTCTCTGTTAGGTAGAATTAAGACAAAAGAGAATATAACGTAACACTTGAAATGTCTCTTTAGCTAAGCTATTTAGTCTTCATCATAACGCTACATTAAGAAATGTCAATTTTATCAACATACTCTTTAACTCAATAATTTTCATAATTAAACTAGTTGAAAGGTCTTAATTTCAAGTCATTTGGTTGACCCACGTTTGTACGAATTTTGTTTGTTCTATTCCTAGAATTTGACGACTTAATTACAGTATTTAATTTCAATCTTTTTCTAAATTGATTTTACTTGGATGGCTTGGGTATATTACTTTTATACTCTTTTTTTTTTCCCCTACTATACTTTATCCTATATATCGATAACTTGGAGGTAAAAATCCAATATGTAAATCAAGTGGTAATTTCGTAAATAATTTATGAAGTAACAACTTTTCATTACATGTGGGCCACATGAATTTTGATTTTATATTGAAAATGCCACGCTAATTGAGATTTTTTTATTGATTTATTTAGGAAATTGTCACTTGATTTACCTATTTTTGTTTGCCAACTTGGACTCTTGGAGTATTCTCTTATTTTTTCTTTCCTCTCTTTATTTCGAGTGAGGTGAAATGGCTAACAATTAGTCACTTAATATTATGCGGGAAAACAATTTATGTGACTGCTTTTTAATTTTATATAGTATTTCACTAATTTTAAGGATTGTTTTATTTTCAAAATTTGTTAATTATGGAAAACCTCTAACATGCTTAAAAGCTGAAAATTCTAATGTAGTCTTATGACTTTTGACTACCACAATTTTTTAAAATGGACGGTTGAGATTGTTTGTTTTTTGATTTATTTTTAATTAATAAGTTTAATTAAATATCACTTTTTAATTATTATATATATTTTTTTTATTTTCAGAATTTCGAAAATATTAAAAAATAATTTCTAGAAGATATAAATATATTTAAAATAATCAAGAAATTATTTTTGATTAAAATTACTAATTAAAAATAAATCAAAAAACAAATAATCTCTGCCATTCATTTTAATAAATTGTGGTAATCAAAAGTCATAAGACTACGGGCTTGTTCCGATTTACTGAAAACAATTGAACTGTACTGAGCTGAAATAAATTATTTATGAGAGAAGGAAATTGGGAACTGAAATGATTGGAGCTGAACTGAACTGAAATTAAGCTGAACAGAACAAACCCTATATTAGAATCATTTCTTAAAAGCATATTAGGCGTTCATAGTTTTTATTTTTTATTTTATTTATTTAGCTCAAATTCATTAATATGTGTTCCATGAATCAACAATAATTGCAGACAGCAATTCCAATACTGATTGGCACCAAGTTTGATGATTTTGTTAGACTTCCTCCTGATTTGCAGTGGACTATCGTCACTCAGGTACATTGCTACAAGTACTCATTTTTTACAACAAATAAACTCAGAACTATATAGATCACTCTCTTATTAAGAACTGAACATGTCAAATAAATTAAATATATTCGTCGTACAGAATGATTTTGGTTGGAGTTTCTTAAGTAAGCTCGGCCTAGTTTTCTTTCCTCGTCGATATAAATAATTGAGGGTAACATGTATGTGTGCATCTTCTTCGTGCACGAGTATTTTATTATTAAAGGCCAATTTCTAGTTTAAAATGAATGTGACACCCCTGTAAATGACTTTACCAGGGTGTGAACACCCGTGTAGTATAATTTGGCTAGATTTGAACATCTGGGAAATCTCTTACTACTTTTGTTAATATTCCTATTTTCTTTGTATCTTTATGATTTCCTGTCCTTTTTAGTCTGATGCAAGAAAAAAACACGTTAACATCTTCTTTTTTTTTTACAAAGTTGCTTTGCTAGTTGGTTGGGTTTTGATTGCTTTCAGATTTACAGAGTATTGCTTTACTGTATTGGATAATTTGGATTGTTACATGTAGATTGTATGTGTGACTTTAGAGTGATACGCCTAACACGGTGTGTGTGACTCACTTATCTTCATACAAGGGAAGATAAGTAAATTCGGGAGATTTGATTACTGCTTTAAGTCTATATGAAATCGTTTGATGATATATTACTCAATGTGGAGGATCTGGTTCGACGAATATTGTTCAATCATAATTTTTCCATGTATGCACGGATTGTGAATTTGTGATCCTTTTTACAAGGGTGATATCTAAGTGTATCAATCGATATTATAATCTACCTTGTGTTGTTGATATGATCAAGTCACTGTAAGATAAGTTTAATCTTAGTAAAACCTTTAATCTCGTGTAGACCGGACTAGCTATGCTAATAACTTGGTGATTTTGGATCTGTTTTTTGATTCAGGCAAGAGCATATGCAAAGGCAATGGACGCGACTCTATTCTTTTCGAGTGCAACTCATAACATAAATGTGAACAAAATCTTCAAGTTCATCATGGCCAAGCTCTTTAACTTGCCTTGGACTGTACAGAGGAATCTCACTATTGGAGAGCCCATTATTGATTTTTAGTGTAATTTTTTTGTTTCCTTGTATGTACCTTCTTCCAAGTTCTCTGCCCCGGTCGGGGTGTAATCATGTACATAGCTTCAAGATAGAATCATAGATACATGAACAATGAGATTTTTAAAAAAAAGACAGGAAAAAAAGGGAGAAAAAAGAAACGTAAATGAGAACTTTGAATGTTTTGATCTACGAATTGTGTATGAATATATGATCACTTTGTCTGTACTACAAATCTTGAATCAAAATTCATACCTCAAGAACAAAGTGCATAAAGATATGAAGTGCCGCGTTCTCTGTGTATTAGAACAAGAATGAAATCACTACATCATCTGCACAAACATGAGACTAAGAAACTACCCTTGACCAACACTAATGTACAAGGGAGAAGGTAACCCACGCCTCGACCAACACTATGCATACACACGGCGAAGACTCTAGTTGCAGAGTAAAAAAAAGGTTGGAGTCCATTTTAGAGCAAAGTTAGCTAAAACAAAAACTAAGGCTTCGACGAAAAGAAGAAATACAGGAACCAAAAAAAAAAAAAAAAAAAAGAAAGGAAGAAACTAAATCTAACTATATATTTTGATCAATTTCACATAATTAAATACGTAATTTAAACTTTATGACTTGAATTGCACGGGCACGCAATCTAATATATTTATTTAAAATGATAAGTTACTCGTATTTTTATTGAACGTACTATAATTATTATTCCGAAGTTCTTTAATAGAATGGTAAATTGGTAATCATTTAACTGTGTTGGTTTTTGTCATAAATTAAAATTCAACTTATGGATCTATCCTTTTTATTAAGAATGTATTTGATGCTTATATGTGGAAAATTTTAAGCTAGAGTAAACAAACTTAAACAAAGCCAAGAAAACAACTCAACTGTAACGGCTAAGCTAACAGCATGCATGCCCTATTAAATTATGTCTAGAACACTAGATAGATCAAGCTAGTTTATGTTGAAGGTGAGATGAACCAGACTACTTGGAGACTGTTTTTTTACGCGGTTTTGGGTGTGAGGTAGCGTTCATGAACCAATTATAGAGGATGAGATATGAGTTATGCTAGCAACAAAAGGTTTTTTTTTGAAACAAAGCAACAAAAGGTTTTGATAGTGTCTATATTATATATAGTTACAGATTATACAACCAGAGTTGAATTTGTACGAGTATAAAAGGACTCCAAAATTGTAAATGTTAGTGGTATGTTTATACGAATCGAATGGATGTATACACCATGTATGAAATTGTACAATCTCAAGGTGGACAAAGTCGATAGATTAGAACGATGATTGATTAAAATTATAAAAAATCTCAAAAGACATTATGTAAAAGTTCTGGAAATTCTAAGAAAGCTTGCTTATATATCATCAAGAATATGTAACTATATGCATAAATTAAAAACTAGACTTAATACTAGAAGATTATTTCTTTCATCAAACCAAAAAAACAAAAAGAAGGCTTAATGTTAAATAAAACATCCATAATAATAAGATAATTATTCATATTCATTGATGAAGCAAGAACTAGGTTGAACATCTTCTCGTGCCCCTTCATAGATGACTCCACTTTCAGAGAATACTTTCGATAACACCCATTAAGGTCATCTATGAAGTTTTCGTCGATTACTCATGTTCATTGATGATGCAAGGCTTAGGTTGAACCTTTGTTTCTCCCTTCGGTCCATAGAGGACACCATCTTCAGAATAAACTTCAACCTTCAATTGCTTACGCTCTTGTGCAAGAACAAATTTTACGCCTTTAGCATATGCAAATCCCATTTGATTACCAGCCCTCAAGACGAGTTTTTGTAAGACACCAGCTTGAGTAATTAAATAAGGCAAGAGATTCATTTCAAACAAAGTTGCTTGCAATCCTACAATCTCCACAACTTTCAACATGTTTGGCAAACATCCATCAATCGATGGGCTTACTTTAGCCCAATCTGTTAAAGGAGGCACGACATGGAAGTAATCCACCTCCATGTCTTCCTGTTTGATAGAATAAAGTTAAACAAAGAAATTAAACACATCGGATAGATTATATCAACATATGAAGTATAATTGAATAAAACCAACTTGTAATAAATCATACGGAGTATGAGTAATTAATTTATTTAATTTAATGTGCAAATTATTTAATTTTACCAATCCATTTGTATAAAAAGTTTCAATAATGTACACGAAATTTTAACAACAATTTTTATAGCACACTGCCGTCACAAATTAATTAGATACATTATACAAATCCTTGATAGTTAAGTATTTCTCACATTAGATTAGTTACTAGCATGAATTTTTTGATGATTAAATTTAATTTAAGAGATGATGTAATGTCTTTTTTAATGAGTCTCACGTGACTATTATTTTTTTAATAGGCTTCGATAATAAATTAATAATTGAGGGTCGGAGAGTTATTGAAAATATATTACATTACCCTGAAAATTACATGGTCTCCATGCTCGAACCGGACTTCCTCCAGCAAAGGGTAATTATCTAACAGCATACATATTCCACGAAATTCCGATTCATCAAAAGCTGTTTTGATTGTTAAGTTCTTCGCACGGTTTTGTCCAAGAGGATTTAGTTCCACCCCATCAAAAGAAATCACCTACAAGGTAGAAATTAAAATAAAGTTAATTAATTATTACATGAAATAAAATAAAATAAATGAATAGAAGATTTCTTTTGAGAGAAATAACTGAATAAAAAATGGCAAATTAAAAACAATATTATTTCAACAAATTAAAAAAAATTTCAAAGTGACAAACGTAAAAATTTGATGGTTTAAAGATAGGGTGTTGTACCACATGGCATATACAACAACTGTTGATGGGTTTTTTTTCCAGTAAATAACCAGTTGTCATAAGCTAGAGGATTGTTATGTTACGACCTAATTCACATTTTACATAAGCATCTTTACTCAAAGAAATGCATAAAATTATACCTTTGAAATTCCATTAAATGTGTCACATTAAAACAGAAAAAATCCATTGACGATTCAATTAAAAAATAAATCATGATGATAACATACACAATTATATCAAATTTGATGATTAATTATTTAAAAATAGAGATTAAAATGATCCAAAATTTATAAGACATAAAACAAATAAAAAATTTACCTGAACGACGTAACTATCAACAATCAAAGACCTTGCGAAGTAGAGGCTATCAAGAAGATTAGCAATCTTTTCACCATCTTCCAAATCAAACATCTCGACGAGGCCGAAATCTAACTCGGCCGTCTCAAAATTCTCAGACACGATGATACCAAATTGTACAACTTTGCCACAATACTTGAGATGAACAAGATTTGGTGCAACAATTGTTAAGGTTAACAAATCAACACATTTGTCCACGACAATCGTCTTAAGAGTGTCGGATTGGATATCATAATGTGGTGCTTGAAAACACTTAGACAAACTTAAATTTTCGAGTAACGGACAACTTTGCAACATTAACCTAAGGTTTGTTGCGTTTATAATCTCAATCCACGCTAAGAAGACACTTTTTAAGGTTAGACCAATAGTCGCGAAATTGTTCATGTCAAATCGACAAGAAGCCAATTTTAAGGACTCTAAGAAGGTGTAATTGTAAACATACACTGGAAGAGTAAACCTTTCAATGAATTCATTGTTTAAAGGGAGTCTGTCTTCCCAACTCGGAAGTGAAAAATCGAGTTCTAGAGAGTTGGGGTGGCGATAAAGGGCATGCCTTACAAGATTCTCAATATTGATTGGGCAAATATGAGGGTCGCAGAAAATAAGGCTAAAAGATGAGATAGATGGTGCACCATTGGCGAACCACTTAAACCCGACTTTTATTAGATAATATAGTTGGTAAAATTTGTTAGCATCCCTTATTTGTTCGATATTTGGGTGTTGTTCATCAATTCCCGTGAGAGGGGAAAGGAAAAGGCGGTCGTTTAATTCGACATTAGGCCGGGAAAGCCATAACCTCCGCCATGGCTTTGCCAAGACGCTTGTCCTAGCAGCCTCTTTGACAGGAATAAGGGAAAGAATGGTGAAGAGAATTGCCTCTGGGAGAAACGTGAGACGATCTTGAAAGGGGGCCATTTTCAAGGCGAGAATAAAACTAAAGATTGGAGAAGAATTGGAATTTGGGAGAAGAAGGGAGAAGAGAGAGGGATAGAATGAATGCTTTTGGTGTAGGGAAAAGGAGGCTTGTAGGTGCAATTTATAGGAAGGAAAATGTATGTAGTTTTTGCATGAGATATCAAAATATCATATCCTTGATATTGGTGTTGTTTCACAAAAATGAGAATAATACAATAATGATTCGTTAACAAAGACAAAAAGGAATGTTGATGTCCAAATCTTTTACTAATTTTGTTTGTATTATTGGATGAATGTATACACTGAATATAGAGCTCTTCACACTATCACTAATAGAAATAGCGTGGATATATTAGACCTAGGAATTATTGGCGTATTTATAATTTTGAAGAATAATGCCAATAATTTCATTGAACCATAATTATTATTAACCATATTAATGATTCTTTCCATGATAGATAGATGTCAATTAATTTAATTAGATTAAAGGACTTGGCAATCCATAGCCAAAAAAAAGTTATTGAAATTTTGATAAACTTTTAAAAGTTAAAACTCGGTTGTAATGAATTATTAGAAGTTAATATTTTAAATTAGTGGACTTTTAGAAGTTAACATTCAATTTAAATTTATTAAACGAACTCATGAAATAAAAGTTAAGTCTTGATTTTGACAAACTTTTAGGGGTCACGACTCAATTAGAACGAACTCGTCATAAAAATTAAGATATGATTTTAATGAATATTTAGAAGTAAGATTCAATTTTAACGAACTTATGAAAACTTTTGTAAGATTTGATTTTAACGAACCTTGTAGCAGTTGAGATTTAAATTTAACGAACTAACTTTTAAAAGTTAAGAGTATATTCATTTTTAACGAACTCAATAAAAGTTAATAAGACTTGACTTTAACGAACTTTTTAATTGATGTTAAGATTTAATTTTAACAAACTTTTAGAAGTTGAGATTTAGTTTTAATTTAACGAATCTATAGAAGCTTAATACTATATACCCTACGTTAAAATTAGTCGTTGCTACATACTACATACTGGCCGGGTTGAAAGGCAAGCTAATTACCTAAAAAACAAAATTTATGCTTGGCGTGAATCTATATATGTTAAACGAACAGGTTTTTCCATTATTATATGCTAACAAGAATGAAGTGATACTTGAGTTTTTAGTAATCTTATGAAGATTTAACATGCTATACCTCGGAAGTTGAATCCCTCCGTCTTTTTCATTCTATGCATGGTTACATTATTTTGGTTTAAAACTTTGACTAAATATATATTATATAAAAATCAAAACCTTCTGTCATATTATGTGGGATGTTGTTAGATTGATTCGTCTTGTAACGAATTTTCAAAATATCAATTTTTTAGTATTTTTAATCAAATTTGTTGAATATATACATACATATTAAAGATATACATTGGAGACCATGCATGAAAATCAAAGTGTAACCATAGAAAAGAGATGACGAAGTAATTTATTTATTTCGTATATGGAAAAGTACTCTTTTTTTATTTGGAAATTAGAGTAAATAGCTCAATAATTGAGTGGGAATCATTGAGGATATACTGAGTCAAGATTTTGTATGAAGTTGGATAATATCGTAAAGTAAAGGAAAGATCCAGTTAATTCTGAGGCTGTGAAAAGAATACAAGTAATGTAAAACAATGATATTACTGATGTAAAAATGTTCAAGTGGCTTAATTTCTAGTGGTTAATTATCTGGGTGGATTAAAATTTTTGTATCATGTATCTCAGTCATATAACCTCATTTATATATATATAAAATAATAAATAAAATTATATGAAGACTTGTGCACTAGCCCTTAAGTGTGATCAATAATCCTTTTACAATTTATGTGGTTTCAAAAAGAGAATGCTTAGTAATTTATATATATGTAATAAAAATAAGATTTATGTGGGTCTAAATATGTTCATTTCATGTATGCTACTCGTATTTGTTAAACTGGTGGCTACCTAATGAGTTTTCTCACTCACTCGAATTTGTAAAAAGTTGTAAAAAATACATTTGGGAAATTAAACCCTTCACTAGTCCATATATATATATATATATATATATATATATATATATATATATATATATATATATATATATATATATATATATATATATATATATATATATATATATATATATATATATATATATATATATATATATATATATATATATATATATAAACTTGACACAACATATGTTATGTGTCACTTTATAGATCCCGATAAAAAATGCTCCCCTAAGATAAACTTAAATTGAATGAATTATGTACGGGTAATTCTCTGTTTCTCATTGTGAGAAACAAGTTTTGTTTCTCATGGGGTATGTGTCAAGATATGGATCTCTCACTCATGACACATACGCGGTCCCCACCAGTGAAAAACATCACATTATTTTCCAAAATGCCATTATGAGAAATAAAAGTGTTTCTCATAATGAGGAAGTGGGGCTCCCTCATTGTACTGCCACTTTTATTAACATAACAAACGAACATTGTGTAAATTGTGGTTATCATAGACAAGGATTATTATCCCAAATTCGCATTGTTAGTAGTTAAGGTTAGATCAGAAGGAGAAGAAGACAAAGAAAGGGTTAGAGGAGGAGGCTTGAGTGGTGTGTTAGAGGAGAGAGAAAACTAGAGGTAGGAAAACGTGAAAAAGTGTGGAGGACATGAAAACCTGGAAGAAAAAATGTGCAGTTCTTTTTTTTAGTATGGTCCACCTGGTTCATCAGAACTTTATTTAGCTTTAACTACATCCGCCCATCCGGATTTGAAAATGTATAGTACAAAACAAAAATTTTAAGAAAAATGCTAACAACATATTTTGTTAAGGAAATTGTTGACGGCCAACGATCCATGAACTTCAATATATGGCCTTTCTGAAATATTGCTATAATAGAGCTTGGACTTGAAAATAGAACTCTCTGAACTAGAAGCAAAAAGAAAAAACAAAAAAAAAAAAAATTGCTACAACATACCATAGAATTAAGGCAATGATTTTATTAACTTCGAGAATTGGAACAAGCCCTTTCAAGTTGCTTACGCGTACGCGAACTTGCAGCACATATTTGCTGGAAGAAGTTAATTAAGATCCTAGAATAATAACCATTCTGTGATAATTCTCTTAACCATTAAGGACTCAAGACGTTGATCAGAGCAAAAACCAACAACATTAGCAACAACAGCAACAATAAACTTTAGCGGCTTAGCCCCATAATGATTTTGAATTGACTAACATAAATCATCATAAGGCGCCGTTTGCAAAAAAATGAAACATAAAGCAACAATATTATTGATCAAAGTTAAAAAGTACTAGTACATAAAAATTAAAACTTGAACCATTTTCGACGATTTCATGCTGGTTATTGATGGAGCAAGAATCAGGTTGCTTGAACATCTTCCTCCACTGGCGTCTCTTCGTAGATGACACCATCTTGAGAGATAACTTGTACCTTAAATTTTGCTTTCTTTTCCGCGACAATATCTTTTACGCGGATAGCAAAATCCTCTCCCTTTTGATTAGCAGCCCATAAGACGAGTTTTTGTAAGGCACCTGCACCTCCATATTTAACCAAATAACTTAACAGATTACATTCATTTGGTGTTCCTTGAAAGCCTATCATCTCCACAACTTTCAACGTCTTTGTCACGCATCCTCGTGCCCTTGGTTTCACTCTTTCCCATTATGTTAAAGGGCTCGTAGGCGCGTAGTAGCCACAGTCCGCCATGTCTTCCTGTTCGACAAAATTAATTTGAACCATCAAATTTTAATTACTTGATTGTACGAGTATAAATTATATCAAAATATATGTAACTATTATTTTTAAATGAAGTCTTCGACACTTCACTAATGGATGCAGAGCTGATGTAACATTACCTCGAAAATGATATGTTCTCCATGCTCGAACCGGTCTTCCTCCAGCAAAGGGGAACTATCTAATATGAAACGTATACCCTCAAATTCCAATTCATGAAAAGCAGTTTTCATTGTCAGGTTTCTCGCTTGGTTTTTTCCCAGGGTTTACATCTGCAAGAGGAAGTACCTTCATGGTAGAATTAAAAATAAAGTTCATTACTCCGCATTTATTACATGAAAAATAAACAACTAACTGAATAAAAGTTGACAAAAAAAAATTAATATAAAAAAAAAAAAAAAAATTCAAAGTAGCAAAAGTAATGTAAAATACACAAGTTTTAAGATGACTGTTTTCGAGAGGACTATAACCACCAATATATTAAATTACAAATTACTCGTAATAATATTATTAAAAAAATCTGGTATTATATAATATTAAGAAGTTTCCAACGAGATGTCACATGATTAAGTATTGTATATGTTGGCGTCAAAATTTAAAATTTGATCATGAAAATAGAAATAGACACTTTATTATATATCAAATGGATGGAGTACAATTTCTTTCAAACAAAAATGGATGGAGTACAATTCATTTCACATTTTAGGTGTATCAAGCTCATAAAAATGCATAAAATCATACTTTAAAAAACCAATGAAATTTTAATCAAAATTAAACACATGGCATATGCAACGTTATACTTAATTTTTTTCGAGGCTGATTTAATTTTTTAAGACAATTGTCATTATACCAGTTGTCACCCTAGTGGTACCATCTTCTCACAAGTCACAAAAGGAAAAAAAAAAAAAAAAAAAAAAAAAAAAAAAAAAAACAACCGTATCACGCTAATTGACAATAAAAACCTCTCGCTAAAGGGGGAAAATAGGCGATTTCCAATCGGAATTATAGTTTAAAAAAATAATAATATTTTCTTCTTTTTCAGATAATTTAAAAGAGGATGCATAGGGTTGTACTACGTGACATATGCAATAATTATATAATTTTTTTTTTTCCAATTTCAATGATCAAAAAATTATTATATAAAGCGAAATAAAAATAATACTTATACCTGCATGACGTAACTATGAACAATCAAAGACCTTGCGTGGCTGAGGCAG